CACAGAGCTTCTTCAGCTTTCATAGTGCATCAAAAAATCAGCACAGAACCTGTTACTGTATCAGGGGAAAATACTCCTTGTGAGGCTAAGGGAATCCTGCTAGTGTAGGCCGTGGGGAGTTGTACTTTTAACCCAAAGGCAGCGCCTCCCTGGTTCAAAGCCAGTAGCTATTTCACAGGAGAAGAAATGAGCAATCTCCTGTACGATTTTACAGCCTCTGAAAACCCACTAGAAGGACAGCTGTGAGTCAGTTTCGACTCAAGGATAGAGGGATGCTGAAGATTGGTTGGTTGGGCAGGCTCCTTTTGACATGATACCTCTAGGGTTTCAAAGTAACTTGCTCCAGATCTTTCCAGTGAGTAAAAATGGAGCTAATGCTGATGCTAATTCTTTTCTACATGAGGGCCTCTCACCCTGGCTCTCCCTCAGCGATTTCAGCAATAAAACGCTATGGCTGACTCTTCTAAGTAAAGACTGATTCTTAAACACCAAATTAATATCTACCTTTTTAATCTACACATCATCCACAAGAGGGAGCAGTGGATATTTACATTCTGAACAATGTGTTGCCTACAGTGAATGCATTTGGATGCCAGGAGCCTATTAACTGCTGGGAAGAGGCTGGCAGACAGCAGGCCAGTAAGGTCCTCAAGCCACCTCCAGAAAAGCTTGTGCACTGGCACCTGGGGTGAACAGCTGCTGGATATTGAGAATATAGAACACTAGCAGGAGGCCAAGACCACTGATGAGGAAACAGCCCTTCTGTCTATCGCGAGAAAGCCGAGTCTGGAGAGATCTCGAATGGGTGGGGCTGCTGGTGGGACTTCAGGAACTGCCTACCCAGCTGCTGCCCGCTGAGGTCCTTTTCTCAGGCATACCTACACGTCTTGGAGTGGTTTTACAAATTAAATGCAATGGGCAAAGATGTAAGAAGCACATTCAGAGTGTCCTTTCAGGTACCTGAGCTGAGGAGGCCGAATTTCCCTTCCTGATGAGATTGGACAGCCCTGACCCATACATAAGCAACATGTTGTGGGCTCACTGTGTTAACTGTTAGACTACTAAACAAAAGGTGGTTATGTGCCATCGAGTTGAGTGCAACTCATAGCAACCTTATTATGAACAACAGGTCTGACCCTTGTCCTATCCTGTGCTGTTCTCATCATCTCTGCTATACTTGAGCCTGTTGTATATCTGTCTCTCTCATTGAGGGGCTTCCTCTCTTACACTGGCCCCTCCATTTCTAAATATGATGCCCTTCTCCGAGGACTGGCCCCTTTGAACAACATGCCCAAAGTATATGAAGTGAAGCTTCCCCAGCTGTGCCTCTAAAGGGCCCCCGGCCTCACTTTTCCCAAGACTGGTTTGTTCTTTTGGTAGTCGATGATATATTGAGCACTCTTCCCCAACACCACAATTCAAAGGCATTTGTTTTTCTGTCCTCCATAGTTATCGTTCAACTTTTAGGTGTGTAACAGTATTTAAAAGCACCATGGCTTAGATCAGGTGCACTTTAGTCTTCAATAACCTTGCTCTTCAGCACTTTGGAAAGGTCCATGACATAAGATTTTCCCAAGTCTTCATTGTATTTCTTCATAATTAAGAGAAGGAAGCCAGGTTGACGTTCCTTTTTCTCTCCCTAGTCCCCCGCTCCCCAGTCCAAACAAAACAGCAATAACAAAATACTTCAAACCCACTGCCAGGGTGTACACTCCTACTGCTTGCTAGACACCTTCCATTGGCTTTGAGACCTTGAATCATCATAAGAAGAGATTGCCCATCTTTCTCCTACTGAGAGCCTGATGGATTAGAGCTGTAGTTGTCAATCCGACTTCGTCTCTTACATCTGAAGAAGCAATGATCCCGATCCCCAGAGATGTAGATTTCCCAAGGAAACCCACTGCCCTTGAGTCCATCCTTACCGTAGAGTCTGAGGCTGTGAATTCTCAAGGGAGGAGACTGTATCCCTTTCTCTTGCAGAGTGGCTGCTGGACGTCAACCGGAACTTTAAGTTAGCAGCACCGCACGTAGGCACGTAGCCAGCTAAGCGGTCGAGGTGTATGGTTTCCCAAGGACACAAGTGAACTGTGATCACTCAGAGGTGTGCCTGCAGCTAGCTGTGCATAAGGTGACCCAGTGCAGCAGAGCTAGTGGGCTGGGCCTCCTAGCGGCCAAAGGCACTTCTAGTCTTTGCATTGTGCCTGGGGGTTTCACCTCCAGAATAACCCCCAATGGCAGGGCAGCCAGCTGTCCCCTGCTGGACAGTGACTGTCCATAGGCGCCTACAGGAGAGGGTGGAGCACTGGGCCATTGGGAGCACGAGTCAGGTGTGAGGATAAATCACGGGCACAAATTGCACCGACCGTTCTGGATTGGGTCTGTATGCCAACACGGCTGGCTAGGTTACAAGAAAGGAAATCTGATCTGGGAAAGGCGGTGGCCCCTGCAACATGAAACCCAGCAGGGAGCTGCTACTAACAGTGATAAAGCTTAACTCATTCTCACTTTGCAACAACAATAAAATATCACCCCAAAACCAGTACCTATGGAGCCTGTTCTAACTCATGGAGAGTTAGAGAGTAGAACTCCAGGAAGTCTTGTAATGGTTACGTCATAATGTACATATATATTGTGTATATTCAAATAAGTGTAGGCTCTGAAAGCCTAGTGACAAGAAGCTGCGCTGCAGTCACAAGACATGCAGTTCAAATCCACTAGCTGTTCTGCTGGAGAAGGATGGGCAATCTCCTCCTGTGCCTCTGAAAACCCGCTGGAGGGTCAACTATGGGTCAGATCTGACACCACAGTACACAACAACAATCATCACTGAAGCAAATCTCCAGGCATTTTTCCCTGGTGCCCATCCGCCTATGGGTTTTGTTGGGGTTTTTTTTTCTCTCATGTGATAAAAGGAATTTTTATTATTTTTAAAGAAAATTCATACAGCCATTGATTATACAGATCAATGCTCTTTTATTTCACTTAAACTGGAACACACCATGATGAGAATGATAATGCTGAAACAAGATCGTTGGCTCATCACCTAGGGTACAAATACACAATCATTTGACACTTTAATGAGCCCAAAGCAGCATGAAGCATTTTTGCTTTTGTTGTTTGTTACACAGTTGAAGCAGGAGCTCAAGAAAGAGGAAGACTATACCTCTTTCTCTGGAGGAGGAGATGTTGAACCCCTCTAGTTCCATCTTGGGGTGGGAAGATCAACCCATGTTGTGTCTGTTGCCGTAACCCCGAGGATGGGTGTCTTTCCAGTCATCCCACTCCCGGGCTCTGTGCACCGTTTTGTCATCATCTGCCGCCTCCTTTTCTTCCTGATCTTTTTGCTGAGCTGCTTTTGTGAGCTCTGCTGGTGGTGTCCTGGTTCTTCCATGAGCTGTGACATACTTCTGATGCTGATCATACCAGTCATTCACTGTCATGGTTGCCAGGCTTGGATAACCAGCTCCAAACACCTTGGCTTGGGCCACATCCCGAGTGAGAATGAAGGGTTTCATTGGTGGCTTGTCTCGATGAGATGAGTGAGAAGATGATGCCTCTTTTGAGGACTCTCTTACTCTAAGGATCTTAATTTCTTGGTCAATACTTTCAATCTCTTCCAAGCTGATACCAATCCACCTCCGAAGGTGAATAAGAGAATATTCACGAACATGCTCATCATCTGCTTGGCCACTTTCCACAGCAGATTTCAGTGCAGACAATCTACTTTCCATCTCCTTCTTCTGTTTGTATCTCTCTATCTTAGCCTGTCTTTGAGATGCCAAAGCAACAAGGTTAGGATAGGTAACGGAGGAGCTAGCAGTATTATTTTCAGTTGAGTTGTTGGTTTGGGGCAGTTCAAACTCTGCCACATGGTAATAATGGCACTGAGTTAAGTAGTTTAAAAAGTGTTCTCGAGCCCACTGCAAATGATCTAGACGTTTGCTGGTGTTGCCTTGTTTCATGGCCAGGGCCCCTTGAAATGCTGGCACCAAGAGGTACTTCAGGTCGGTGGAAGCAATTTCTTCCAAATCTTCATTTCGGCTGAACAAGTCGAGCTGCGATAACCTTTCAGCAACCTGCTCAAGGAGGCCCAGTGCCTTGACCACCTTATCCTGGATTATACGGGCACCGGTGGGTTCTGTCGCTACTTCTACTTCGTCCAGAAGCTGCTTGCTTGTTTCAAACAGCTCTGCGAGGCTCGGCAGCAGAAATTCATCGTCCGCAGCTGCCATCTTGGGGAGGGAGCTCCACCTATCTTTTGATCAAAGTAGTTCAATCTATTTTTGTCACTCAGGGACCAACGAATGAGGTCCAGGCACCTCCGTTTTAAAGCTGAGAAAATCAAATCTCACCGCTGTTGGGATTCTGACACCAACCCCTTTCTTCTTCTCCCCTATCCGGAAGCGAGGAGCTGTCTGCTGGAGTGGCTGAAAGCGCACTAGAACGCAGATATGTGCCAGTTTCGGCGTAGCCGCCGCACGGAGCGCTCTGGGCAGCGTCCCGGGCCCTGTAGGTCGCTGGCCCGCTGGACCTTCGGCACGCAGGCGCCCTGCCCTCCCGCCGACGCCCGCTCTGATTGGCGCGCCCGGCCAGCCTCCCCCGGCTCACCTGCCCCCTCCCAGCCAATCGGGACACCCGAATTGGGCTGTCGCGGGAGGGCGGGGCAGCGGGGCCGGTCCCGGCCGAGCCGCCCTCCCCGGCCGAGCCGCCCTCCCGGCCAGTTCCCTCCGGGCCGCCGCCATCCGCTGCCGGGAGCCGCGGGCTGCGCGCCTAGGTCGCCCTGACTCGCCCCCTTCGCGCCGCGCTCGGTGCCCGCGCGCTTGAATGCGGCGTCCCGGCTCGGCGGCCGCTCTCGGTCTCCTCTCGCTGAGCTGCGCCTCGACGGCGCCCGGAGCCGCAGGAGACGCTGCCTCCCCGCAGCCTCGGAGCCACGCGCTCCCCGGGAGCCCCGCATTCCGCCGTGGGCTGCGGTCTGTGCGGTTCTGGGGGGCCCAGAGTCCGAGGAGTGCGTGGACTACGCCTGGGACAGCCCCGCGCAGACGGGATGTTCACGTCCAAGTCCAACTCGGTGTCGCCCTCCCCGTCAATGGAGCAGGCAGACTCAGACGCTCTGGACATCAGCACCAAAGTGCAACTCTACGGGGTGCTGTGGAAGCGGCCCTTCGGGAGGACGTCGGCCAAGTGGTCCCGGCGGTGAGTGCGCCCCTCGCGCGCGGGCCTGAGAACCCACTTCCCATGCCCTCCGTCACCGTCCGGTGGTCCCTGCCTTCCCTTATGACCTTGGTCTCGCCCCGTGTGGCTTCTCCTGGAAGATATGGACCTCGCTAGGGTCTTTCCTGTACCGAGGGCTCAGATAGCCGAGGTGGGACCACAGCGGGGGATGCAATGGACCTTATACCCGAGTGGGAAGGTTAAGAGTTGGCTGAACTCATCTCAGAAATTGACTGGCCAGAAGGAACAACAGAAAAATTTAGAGTCCTCAACAAGCTTTCAGATTCCATCTCAGGAGTTAGCTAGCCAGATAGATCCTCAGAAAGACATAGAGCCTAGAACAACATACCAGATTGAGAACTTTGCACAAGCATTTGGTTCTCAGTTTAAGTCGGGCAGCAGGGTGCCAATGACCTTTATCACTAACTCTAATGGAGAAGTGGACCATAGAGTAAGGACTTCAGTGTCAGATTTCTCAGGGTATACAAATATGATGTCTGATGTAAGTGAGCCATGTAGTACAAGAGTAAAGACACCCACCAGCCAGAGTTACAGGTAAGGTCCCAAAAGTGACCAGGCTGGGAGTCTCCTATTGTAATTTTGTTTTATTTTGAGAACACTGCCATTGGAATGTTTCTACACGATCCTATTAAGAATAATGTAATGCCCTTTCAATGCAACTTTTCATATTTAGTTTATTTTGTTAGTGTGATTTTAGCTCTGTTTGTATTATGATTTTTAATCAAAATCAATAGATTAAAAATAGTTTGACATTCAAAAAAAAAAAAAGAGTTGGCTGAAAAGATGCTGCGAGGTTCTGGTGGGAGCTCACTTAGGTCCACTTGCGGTAAACTGTCAAGGGAGGGAGAAGCTCCTCCAGTCACAGAGAACCCATGAGACCCCATGGCCAACTCTTATCATCTCTACAAATGAAACCCCTCTCCCCCAAGTCCACGGGGTAATCAGAAGACACACCTTGGGGACACGCGCACTCGTGAAGGAAGCTGTCTTGGCCTTTCTGGAAAACTTGGCCAACGCAAGCAAAGGGTCAGAAAGGCCCCCTAGGGGTCTGCGCTCTCCCTTGGTGGAATGCTGATTGCAGCCTCCTCCAATTGCCCCCTGGAGGAATAAAAAACCTAGGCTGGAGAGAAAGAAAAAATAAATAAATAAATAAATAAAATTCCAGTACTTGTACAGGAGGGGGAAAGCCTGGTAAGGAAGGAAAGAAGCTGGATTGGAGAGGGAGCCAGGACTGAGGGACGTGAGGGAGGGGATAGCCTGGTCCTGCCCAGAGCGAGATCCTCCGGGGGAATGATCAGATCCATTAAGGGAATGGCCAGAGTAGCCCCAGATCCCTTCTTCCCACACCAGCCTCCTGATCCTCGACTCAGAGGCCACTCTCCAGACTTAAGTTGCCACTTCTGGCTGAAAAGGAACCTGTAAGGTACTCAGAGCAGTTAGGGAGGTTAAGTGCTCCTCTGCGAAGCAAAGGCTGGCAGTTGGAAGCCCCTTTTAAGGAGATGTGGCAGTCAGCTTCTGTAAAGATTTACAGTCATGGACACCGGTGGGACAGTTCTACTCTGTACTGAGTCACTGAGTCCCAGCAAGGGCTCATAGCTGAAGGCGGGGTGGGGGTGAGGGTGGTGTAGGGGGAGGGGGGAGGGTTTGGCTGTCATCCTTAAGCTTGTTTTTAGGATGTCCTCAAATCTCAGACTGGTTTGAGTGACTCCCCGGAGGTGTGACCAGCTAGGAAAGGAATAGTGGGTCCAGAAGGTCTGTGGGTTGCTTCTTCATCCTACACCTTGAATTCTTCCCTGAATGAAGGGTCTTTCAAATATTCTCATCACTATAGATTGCTGGATGTGGTTCTGGTTGCCCTGATGTTCCATTTTGATAAAAAGTTACATTTCTACAACAGTGCAGAACAAATGGAGTGTGGTTATTGTTTTACATTTTACAAAGCTGATTTCACATGTTGTTGTTGTTGTTATGTGCCATTGAGTCGCCCTACACCCTGCTCTATCCTGAGCCAATTTTGTTGTCTCTGACACACCTACCCTCATTACTCCAGTCACTAAATCAATCCATCTCATTGAAGCTCCTCCTCTCTGGTGCTCTCCCAAGCATGGTGTCCCTCTCCAAGCACTGGTTCCTTCTTGCAACATGTCCAGAGTATGTCAGATGAAGCTTCAGAATCCTTGCCTCCAAGGAGCAGCCTGATCTCATCCTCTCTAGGATGAACTTGTTTGTTCTTTTACCAGTCTATTCAGTACTCTTCAGCACCACAGCTCAAAGGCATCAATTCTCCTTCTATCATCCTAGTCATTGTCCAGCTTTCCGATGCATAGCAAGTAATTGCAAACACTATGGCCTGGCTCAGCCACACCTTAGTCTCCACACTGACATCCTTGCTCATTTTGAAAAATATCCTTATTATGTTGTTGAAAAGATATACCGCAGAACACATACCAATTCAGTAGCTTCAACCTGTGCAGTTCTGTTCTCTGTTGTTTAACCATTCTCATCCTCCTTTCCTGAATTGTTCCTGTTGCATTTGCATAAACTCAGCCCCCTAAGATTCCCATCGAATCTCTTGTTGCTTTTGTCTGCTTGTTCACATATGGATAGATCTTTAAGGAGCACAATACTCAAGGCACATTTTCTTTACTATTTAAGCTATAGTTTGCTTTTAAAAAGATTACAGGGGATATATTTGATTGAAAGTTTAAAGATGATTCTAAGGCAACAGTCTCAAGATTTCATTCAGCCTCCATGGCCCCAGAAAGTTACTTGTATAAGTTTTCCCTCTAAGATTTAATGGGCCTCAAGGTGCCTGTGCCAGAGTAAAGGTCACATCTGGTCCCCTAACGGAGACCCGAAACAGGAGAGAGTGCATCCTGTGAGGGACTTCCAATGTTGAGCAGTCATAGAGGACCAGGAGCAGCCTCATCTCTATCCAGACACCCCATGGTCTCGGGAAGGCTGCTTGCAGATGGCAGGTCCCGGATAACACACGTGCCTCTCTGCTGTGAGCAGCCCATACCCCTGCATTGGGTTTGGCTTCTGTCCCTAGTCTCTCCTCAGGGTCTTCCCTCCTAGACTTCTCTTATCAGGCATTTCACCTGCTCGTATCCCTAGAAATACTAGGGGCTGTGATCCCCACTATATGCCCCTGCACTGCTCACGATGGTGGGTACAATGCGGGCCTGACCTCTTTACTAAGTTGATTAGAGGGCTGGGTAGTATTGAGAGGTAAGCACAGGAGTGGTGCCAAAGGGGACATGCCAAGTTCTTGTGCCCATACCCTGAGAAGCTCCATCAGTAGCCCCCACAACCACCCAAATAGACACCTAACTGAAGTTAAAATAGCATGAATGCTGAGCAAATATAATGTCTTCATGTCAAGTCCTCCAGCCCCCTTCAATAAGAGATCCCTGTATAGGAATTATGGAGCTGTCACTGTGCATTACTGCCCCTACCCTGGGGCTCAGGAAAAACCTGCTTGCCTAGTCCAGGCCCTGGCCATGTTTGCGTTTATGGGAACACCCCCCCCCCACACACACACACACACTCTTTTACTTTGGGTCAATGGCAGAGCCTAGGTTAAGGAGGGAAAGACGTGATGCTCAACCCCCTCTTGCTTCCCAGAAGGGCCCCTTGGCCTCTAGTTCCCGGTTTGTGAAGTAGAGTCTCTGAAGCTCAGCTAATTAGTGGCCACAAAAAGGCTTGGGGAGGGGGCAGCTCAGCCCACACTGCAGAGCCTAGCCATTACAGCGATCGATTCCCAGCTGGGGAAGCTAAGGGGAGGGGGCCTGGGATGGCTCTGGCTCCGTGCTGCATAAATTATGAATGGGCAGGATGGCCTGGCTGTGGCCAGCTGCATACTGTAAAACCACTTCCGCTCAGGGTCTGGCTCAGGACCGGCTCCTTTCCCTAAAGCCCAAGCTGCTCTGCTTTCTGAGGGCCAGAAAGATGCCTTTGCACTAAGAGAGTAACATAAAGGGAAGGGGCATAGTGGAAAACATGAAGTAGCAGAGCTGAAAGGATTTAAGAGAAGTGTCCAAATTATGGAATGCTGACTCTGCTCTCCTCTATGACCGCGAGCAGTGGAGACACAGGCATGTTGGCAAAGGCTGGCGCAGCTCAGCAGCACGGAGGAAACAAGCAGAGGTTCCAGCCACGACCAGCACAGACTGGGATGGCCCTGCAGCTAGGCTCACTCCACAGGGTTTAACGCTTCCAGCAGTGTCTCCTGGAACACGGAGGCTTAGTGGTTAAGAAGCAATGTTGCAGGGGAGCTCTGGTGGCCTAGTGGCAAGAAGCTGCAACTACAATCCCAGAGGTCCAGAGGTTCACGGTTCAAATCCACCAGATGCTCTGCCGGGGAAGGAGGGGCAATCTCCTCCTGTACCAGTCAGATCTGATTTGACGGTACACTCACACAAAAACAATAAAATAAAAAAAAAAAAGAAGCAATGTTGCCAACCCAAAGGAACTGGTCTGAACCCACCAGCTGCTCCAGTCTCCTCCCATGAAATTTACTGCCTCCAAAAACCCTCTGGAAGGTCAGCTATGAGTCAGTTCCGACTTGACAGCACACAACCACCATAGCTTTCCCAAATCCCCCTCTAAACTCCTTGAGGAAGCGGACCCAGCCCCCACTTTCTCCACCCAGGCATCCATATTCCTTCTTGCCTTCTCTTCCCAGGTGCAAGGTGATCAGTGGGACCAACCTGGAAGCAGCTGAGTCTTGTAAGAGGTTGGGCAGCTGAGGGTGCAGCCCTCTGCCCCAAGGAACTAAGTTTTGCAGGGCCTATCGGGTGCAAAGGGAGCCATCGAGATGGAATCACATTTTGCAAATCTCAGGGCACATGATGGGGCATATTGGGAAGTCTGAGATGTTAGTCACCCTATCAAAAAACTTAGAATAGCCCTAATCCCATAGGAAATTTGGGAACAGAGGAGCTTAGCCTTTGGCTCTG